GGGGGGGGGGGGGGGGGGGGTGGGAAGGGGGTACATGGCGAGTGAGGGTTTCCCAACTTGAGGGGAAATGGGAGATGAAGGGGAGCGAGCAGAAGGACAAATCATGGCAGGGGTCAGAACGAAGGGAGTGGGGGGAAGAGAGACAGACAGACAGAGAGAGACACAGAGAGAGAGAGAGAGAGAGAGAGAGAGAGAGAGAGGCGTGACGGAGGAGCGGAGAGGGAGGATTTCACTTCCCGTCTGAATGGAATTCGTCCTCCAATGGTCATCACTGGAGTGCATGCAGGAGGCTTCGGGCATTGGTGTCTGTTTTTCGTTGCAGTACACAAAGATTCGCGTTTTCTTTGATTGTATCACAAATGTGTTTGTTTTTCGTTGCAGTACACACAAAGATTCGAGTTTTCAATTCCACACGTGTATTTTTCCCCCCCCCTTACCTCTGTCCACACGTATTCGAGAGGTAAGGTAGATTGAGGGGAGCGGTTCCATCTGATTCTCAGGGAGTGATGGAAGGAGAAAGAGGACAATCCTAGTTTCGGTGTGTAGAGTCCGGGACAGGAAGCAATAAGAGCGCCTTTGATTCATCATGTGTATGTACCTGTATTGCTTTCTGGCCTGGAAAGTAAGCTGAGGATAATGAGGACATCCACTCGTGTCTGTTTAGGAGGAGAGGAGTTCGGTGGTGGAGCCTGAGGAATGAACTAAATTAATAAGCTACTGTGCTCACCCGAATAGAACGCCCGGTCATTGTATCCGTATTTGGGGCAACTTTCAGACCAGATGCAGCTGTTATGACCGGGCGTTCTATTCGGGTGACGACGGTAGGTGGATCATGCGCGCAGCCAGCTGGATTACTCGCTCTCCATGCGCGAGCTAGAGAGATTTTGGACAGGAGAGAAATGCTGAACACTGATCTTCCACGTGCTGCTGCTGCTGCTGCTGGGTCTCTATACTCTCCTGCAGTAAGCAAACCTAATTAATTTCCAATGACGGTGATGAGTCAATTCTTACGTCAAAAACGACGATGAGTCTCGATGTTAATTAGAAAACAAGGTAAAGGGATGATGAGGATGATCGATCATAACCATGATGATCCCTGTGGCAACAATATGGAAGCAAGTTCCAGCAACAGTGAGTGACCATGATGAGGAGGACGAGTTGGAGGCGGGTGGAGAGGAGGAAGGGATGATAATGATGAATTGAGCACGGGCACTTTGTGATTGGAAGTATTATGATCCTGACACGTGGCAGAACCTCCTCGTCCACCCTCCTCCTCCTCCTCCTCCTGGTGCTGCTGCTGTCTCTGCCCTTCCCAGAGATGTAGAGGTTAATACTCTTGAGGAGGTGTGGCACTCACAGTCACGACAGCGATGAGAGAAGCATCAGCAACAGGTCTACCGTCCTCGCCCGAATAGAGCGCCCGGTCATTATAGCTGTATTTGATGCTACTTTCAGTCCAGATGCAGCAATAAGTACCGGGCGTTCTATTCGAGTGAAGACGGTAGTGGAGGTGGAGGCGGCGAATTGCATGAAGTGTGGAGAAAGTGGATGTTGAGGAGGTATGGATGATGGATTGACAACTGGAAGTCGGTGTCGTCTTCCAGCCAGCAGCAGTTAGCACCAGAAAACTATTCATCAACGAACGAGCAGCAGCATGCCCTTAGTGTAGGGCATATACTCAACAAGCCGTGTGATTGATTACATGGCTTTGTCCGCATCTAGACATACTGCCAGCTGCCGCCAGATTCGATCGGACAAGTTGCAGAGCTGTGAGGTCTACAATCTCACTTTGGGAGGATAGAAATTTTCTCGAAAATGACGACCACCATCATCTTACCACCCACCCCCTTTCAGCTTTGTCGTTTCCTTGTCGATTTCCTAATCTGGCAAAGCTCTCCCAGCGAGTCACTCCATCACCGGCATCCTCCACCATACTTCTTCCTGATGTCGGCCTACAGTCTTCCCCCGAATACAACGTACGGTCATTATAGCTGAATTTAGACCAAAATATACCGTACGTTGTATTCGGGGGAAGACTGTAGTCCCCCTCCGTCGTCCGCCATCCGCAACTGACACGAAGTCCAGGGACACAAATTAGTCCAGGAACACAAATCAGTCCAGGAACACAAATTTTCTCTTGACTTTCACCAATCGACTTGCATCCACGACCGTTCCACGAATTTCGTCTTTGTGATTTCCTTCCTAATCTGCCAAAGCTCTCCCAGCAAGTCACGACATCACTGCACCCTCCACCTTATTACGTCGTTTTCACCTTTTATGGTTTTGTTTTGTCGTTTTGTGCCACCACTGCCACGCCGTGGGGTTTCGAGGGCCGGGCTTCACTACTCGCACGAAATGTGCACATTGATAATGAATCTACCTTTGAAACATCGGATGATGCAGCTGGCAGAAACGACAAAAACTGAAAAAGCCAAACCATGTGCCGTGTTTAAAAAGAACCGCTGCGCCACAAAAGTGCCAGTGCATCTTCCCATGTTTGCGGGGAAGATTCATAAAACAGGAAAAATAACGAAAAGGAAACGCTGTGCCTTGGCAACAACGAACGAAATCACATGACTGAGGGCAAAGCACCGCCTCCCAACGCTACGCACTTCTATTCGAACATGCGGCGGCGGATTTGCCAACTCTCCAGCCCGAGGGGCCCACACATCACTGCGGGCCCAAGAGGGAAACACGTTGTTTCCCAAGTGTGTAAGCCTCTGGCCTCACGAGAGCGTCACGCAAGCCCCGGCTTACACTTGGTGGGGGAGGGGGGAGGGGGGAAACGTATATATAGGAATGTCCTAGAAAGTGTATAATGGAGAATTATTAAGGAGCACAGAGGAGCACAAATGTACACAATTCCCCTATGCAGTGATTGAGAAATTGACGTTTTGTTTTTTCTGTTGTTGGTGTTGTTCGTGTTGTCGTTTTGCAGTGGAAAGAAGGAGAGTAGGAGAGTAGGAGAAGCAGGTGACTTTGCGGTGTTTCTCTGCGATAGAAGGAGAGTGGAATAAGAAATCCGATTGTGGTACCAGGAGCTGGGGGAGGGTCTATTACAAATTTTGATAAGTTTTGGGGTGTAGTTGTGTGGAGGTGAAAGATGTCGGGCATAGCACGCGGCCGGTTGGCAGAGGAGAGGAAGTCGTGGAGGAAGAACCACCCTTTTGGGTTCGTCGCCCGCCCACAGAATCTGCAAGATGGCACGGTGGACTTGATGAATTGGCAGTGTTCACTCCCGGGCAAAGTGGGAACAGACTGGGAGGGGGGGTTTTATCCCTTAATGCTTCATTTCAGTGAGGATTACCCGAGCAAGCCGCCCAAGTGCAAGTTCCCGGCGGGGTTCTTCCACCCCAACGTGTACCCTTCAGGAACCGTTTGCCTGTCTATTCTGAATGAAGACTCAGGCTGGCGGCCGGCGATCACGGTCAAGCAGATACTCGTTGGTATTCAGGAGCTCCTCGATGCTCCCAATCCGGCAGACCCCGCACAGACGGATGCGTACACACTGTACATCCAGGATGTGGAGGAATACAGACGACGTGTCAGGGTTCAGGCTAAGCAGTACCCTCCACCTTAAAAAGCCCTATCGAGACGAGAATTGACCAGAACAAGAAGAGCAGAATGGAGTACACAAGTGTGTGTGCCAGATATGTAGTGCTTCGTAAAGAGACAGGAGACTCAAATGTTTTATGGGCTGTCTCTGCACGCGCGCGCGTGCATGTGTGTGTGTGTGTGTGTGTGTGTGTGTGTGAGAGAGAGAGAGAGGAGAGAGAGAGAGGAGGGAGAGAGGAGGGAGAGAGAGGAGGGAGAGAGTGGCACAGAGAGAGAGAGAGAGAATCAAACATGTTGACAGAGGAGGGAGAGAGTGGCACATACAGAGAGAGAGAGAGAGAGAGAGAGAGAGAGAGAGAGAGAGAGAGAGAGAGAGAGAGAGAGAGAGATTATCAAACATATGGACAGAGGAGGGAAAGACTGGCAGAGATAGAGGTTGGGAGGGAGAGAGAGAGAGAGCATCAAACATATGGTCAGAGGAGGGAGAG